ATTCCACTGGAATTCGAACTCGACTCTCCGATTCATATATATATATATATATATATATATATATATATATATATATATATATGTATGTATGTGTGTCTGTGTGTTTCAACTTCATGTAAGCGGAAAACGTTAGCTGGACAAGGTGATATCAATACATCTTCTGGCGGTTAGCATCAGCTATGCTGATAGAAGATATAAAAAGCTTCTCTCACACGATTAAAAGACCGCAGTTTCGTTTTGGAGGCGTTAAAATTAACAAGCCATTTTTTCCGCAGATTAGAACAGGCTAGCTTATTATTTTTGTTTTTAGATCAGCTGTCAATCTGACCTGTTCGAACCTGCTCTCTGTAATTTGCGGACATTTTGTACTGGCCAGAGTGAGAGCCTATGGCTGGCTGACACGAATAGGCAGGAAGATCCTATTGGCCATCGTGAGAACCAACAGCTGACTGACATGAATTTTAACTAGCATGCAAAAATAAATCGATAGCTGCATTCGTTACAAGTGGGAAAAATTTAAATCTGCATGGCTCTTTACTGCAATTGGCTCATTCGCTTGCTTAAACTCAACGTTGATTATATCCCACAGAACTGGGTTGGGTGTGAAAATTATTTGTTGTTAACATTCTTTTTTCATTCGGTTTTTCCAGTTACGAGTCCTTTTTTTAAAGCTGATCGTTTTGTGTTCATTTTGTTTAGTTCTTTTTTTGTGACAGATTTAATGTTTAGTATAGAGCTTCGAAAAAATTTGCAGTGTGAGATAGGCAAGAAGTAAGGCATGTAGCAACATCAACGCGTCAAAGGGCACTCCTTTAAAGGCAAGGAAGGGCAAAAATATTTTATGTCAAGTGATAGCGATTGCTGTATGAGTCGTACGATTTTTGAATCAAACACCGGCAATATGCAGATTGTGCTACGCCTTTATGTTGCCAAAAAATGTGGATTACCAACATGCAGAATTAAAATGTTCGTACCGTTCTCAACATAGAGACATCAATACGTTTAGTTGTTCTTATGTCTTCAAGACATAAAGTGGTTGAAATCGAAAAAAGGAAAAATTAGAGACGTTGGACATGTCCAGTCGGAAATTAGAACTCGGCTCGGCGAATGCGTTTTTTTGTTATAATAAAAGTTTTAGTACTCACACAATACGAGTACAAAAACTAACATTTTACACTTAATAGTTATTTAGTTACTTACGCTGGTTGATGACAACTAAGGTAATGATAAGTCGGCTTCTGTTGGGTTATTACATATCAATGATGGGATGGGACTTAGTTAGGATCGAACTCACTACTCGCAATTATAAAGGCAACCATAGCCGTGCTGGCTATGGTTGCCTTTATAATTGCGAGTAGTGAGTTCGATCCTATCTAAAATGTGGAGACTTGTTGAAGAAAAGCCTTTTTTATTACTTGTTAGGTAATGTTTTATAGAACTTTCCCAAATATTCTCTCTTGTATTGATGAGCACTGCCACATTCAACAAATTTGGAATACTTGCAGAATATTCAGTACGTAAATCATGAAAGCAATAGAGAATGAAAGGAAACGAAAAGAAAGTAAAAGAAATCTCTTCAATAAAAATACAATTTCGAGCATAAAAACCACTGAAATTTTTATTTGGATCGTCGTTACATCAACTACTATCACAATTACTGTGAGTTCAGCTTGTATTACAATAAAAATCTACTATTATCTTTTGGACTAACAGAGATACTTTCGATGCTGCTACGGATACCACTGTCCTTTTTATGTCATAACAAAAATCGGCAAGCAACTTCTTTTCATATGTCTTTTTGTCTGTCAAGAGATATTGATCACCCATTCATCGTATTGTCTCCACTAGCGTGCTTTACGTCTGCAATTTATTTTCCAAGCGGTTGTAGCTTCGCGGCGCTGAGGAATTCACACATATTCACTATCCCAGCCCGACCTACACAGATAGATAGATAGTGTGATACGAAAGAGAAGGAAAACGACAGAACATCGACGAATCGACTGTGACATGTAAGTTATATACCGAATTACTTATATATATATATATATATATATATATATATATATATATATATATATATATATATATATATATATATATGTATGCAAGGGAAAAAGACATATTCGTTTGAAGAAAAATAGCTATATATACAGAAGAAGTAAATGGAATACATACAGACTTGTCGATACTATTTTTTTTGCCACATACTTCAACAACAGGCAGACATATTGTTGATGAAAAAGTTTCGAGCGTCATCTTTTGTACAATGTTGAAGAAAACTTAGAAGTGTTCGTATAGTTGCTTATTACCTTTGCAGTCAGTCAAACGCAGTATCCTCTTTACCGGCCTTAAGAAAATAACACTATCTAGAATGGCTGCAGATAGATATAGATAAATCAGCATTTAAATGATTATTTTTTTCTGTTTTTGCTCTATTCAGAAATTTTTTTAAAGAATGGAATTGATTTTTGAGATCCAAAGGTGGTTTGGGTAGAAAGGTGGTTTAGTTTAGTTTAATGTTACCTTCCGCTTGTGCTGTTATGCGTCGCAGGGAGACACAGTCGTCTGTCAGCTTCAAGTTGAGCTGCTTGGAGGAGAGATATCTCGTGGGCTCCGAGAGTGCCTGCCACTGAGTTACTCTAGCGTCTTCTTGTTCTGCCATTCGCTATCAAGACAGAGTATCTGGGGGTTTATTTTCGTAGCGTTGGTTGTTTGATAGGCATACGTGTGCGGTATCCAAACCACTTGATCCTCTGCCGTTCGATGTGTTGTATGATTGGTATTGTTCCTACCATATCTTTTATTGCCTCATTGTTGACCTTCTCTTGCCTGGTTTTGTTAACTGCTTTCCTCAGCCATTTCATCTCACAAGTGTTCAGTTTCCTCTCAAGGGCTTTTGTTAGGGGTCATGTCTAGCAAATCCCAACCACTCGTTCTCGTCGTGGGAGGTAGAAGCAAGTCATGTTGACCAACGGGGCACTGGTGAAGCTGTGTTTGGCCTAGCAGGCCGGCAGTGGATAAAAATTGCTCAAGAGGACAATGATGGTAATGACACTATAGAGATTTCCTTTCCTTTATTATCTGTTGAATCACTATGACTTCTTTGGAAAATAGTGGAGAGGTTTGCCCTTGGCTTCACTCCGGTGTAAAATCCAGTGCGGTATTTCTCCTGCAGAGACTGCCATACAAAAACAGATCTCAGTTTACTTTACCGTTTAACCCATACTTATAGGGAGATTACTACATTAATGTCTTTCTCAAAGGCGTTTGTGTGAAAGTAAAAGCAATTGGCTAGGACTGGGTCGAGCTCTACCTGGCGATTTTCCACAGTTTTAACTGTTACACTAGCGCATATCCACAGATTACCCATTAGGAGCAACCATTTTCTATTCTACATATCATCCTAATATCCAAATCATACAATCACTTTGTATGCCATAACATACTTATTCATGAACCCACTATATTTACTAGGTTTTGGATCTTGTATTAGTTGAAAAATAGTATTAAAATAGATATAATATATCAGTTTACTAATTTTGCCTTCGTTTCGATGTATAGCTGGTCAGTCGGCTAGCCAATCCCTGCTGCAGACGTTTTCTCAGACGCATTTGTGCTTATTCAACAAAGAGCCCACCTGTGGTTTATATAATAGTTACAGAAAGAGCTAGTTACAGTTAGCACGAAGGGTTTCGTTTACCAAATATCACTCACAATGTTTGGTCACCCGTGGTTTCAGGCACTAAAGATCATATACAGGTTAAAACAGAAAAAAAAAGAAGAGGACAAGAAATCAATGAAAGAAGAAAGAAAGAAAGAGAAATAGAAATCGGTAAGAAAAACATGAGAAATCTTCCCTTCTGCAAAGAAAAGGAAAAGAAAAGGAAAGAAGAGAAGTAATATATAAAAAATTACAATTGCAAAGAAAAGAAAAGAAGGAGGGAAAACGGGAGGAGTTGTTGATGATAACAACATTTTTAAGGATTTAATAGAGAAAGAATACAAAATTTAACCAGAAATAATATCAGCTAGATTAAAAATACAATGTAGCTGTTCGTGAGCCAAATGGCGTTTTGAAAGAAGCTACATACAGGATGTCCACAAAGTTCGTGTGCACTTTAAATAAATTATAACTTTGAAATGCACATGAACTTTATGGACACCCTGTATTTTAAACATAATATCTAAATAAACGACACTTTAAGAATTAAACACATTAGACATACAAATTAACCTTACAAACCGTTACATTATAAATAATAACATCAGGAAATCTCCTTCCTAACAAATCGAACCCGGTTCTTATAATCGGAATGCGAAAATTCTAACCACTTGGCCACGTCTGCATTCCATTCAGTTCTATCTATAGCATATTAAATTACCTTTAATTCAATATCTGTCATTATCCTTAAGTCATCGTCAAGGACGGGAGAGCGCCCGCTTAATCAGATTTTTCCACTTCCTGAATGAATAGTCAGGATCGAAGGAACACCTATGCAGGTAAAAGACAATCCCCAAATATACGTTCAGTAAACACATATTAATATTTATTTTTTTCACTTATTTCAATATTATCTAATACTTTCTTACACGTGACACATTACTAAATTTTACATACATTAGCGTCGAAAATGTTTGCCACACATAGTATCTGTTACATCAATACACGTGACACCTATGGAAGCAATAAAATAGTCGAAAACAACATACCATTCATCCGTGTCTCTTACCTTTCAATCATTTTTCATCAGTTCTATCTTGATCTCGGACGAAGCTTAATAAAGTGAAACATCTTAGATTAAGATCTGTTTTGTACTTGTTCATTTTCTTATATATACACATATCGTCGCCTGCGATATACGTTACTATGTAGGTATTGTTCATTTCTGTACTTTAGTCATAAAATTAATTTTCTCTAGATAGACCACTTGTTTGTGTTTCTGGGGTCTGCGTTTCGAGAAAGCGTGCAGTAGAAAATTAAAGCTAGGATCAGGAGACTTACAGCCATATCATGTTAAAAATCGGTTCCCGTGCGACCAGCGAATTTAAGCAACGTTTAGCTTGGTTAGTACATAGATGGGTGACCGCCTGGGAATATTAGGTGATATATGCTCAGCTCTGCGGGTGGAATTGCTAATTGGAGAGCAGAGTTCTAATTCTCGTTGTAGCAGTTAAAATTGGGAAATGTACGAATCCATACTTCTCCCATATCCATAAAAAGAATACCCGCTCGGCCCGGTGGCTAGGATCAAAGTGTAGTATCTGCGCTTTGTGAGCTGCCGGGTCGGGTGTCTGTCGAACTCTCTGCTTGCAGAGAGGAACCCGGACGAAGCTCCGCCGAAGGGTAGGGTTTCGTTGGGGGAGGTTGACGGAACTGACCCGCCTCGGCGGGTTTGGATGGTTATTTATTTTTGGCTGGGCCTACGGGCTCGGACATACCCACATTAAAAAGGCCTTGTGCCACATTCGATCCCCGTGGGTGGATTGATAAATACTATCCATACTTCTCCCCAGCTATGGATTAATCAGTAAAATCTGTATCACTAAATTATGTAAAAAAATGAAAAGATCCTAGAAACTAAAATGAAAATATATTCTGGATTTAAATAACTAAACGGTTGATAAGCCGTAAAAACGAATAAATCAATCAATCTAATTTCGAGGAATTTATAATGCCACATATTGTAGATGAATTTCGAGACTACAGAAAGGAAGACCAGTTCAGAGACCAAAAATATTATTGAGTCTCTACTTCCCTTGATTTACAGGTTGATTATAGATTACCTGTCCTGCTGTCTGGGTTTTGAATACACCGACTGCATCGCCCGGAGTATGGTAAGGCCAAACCAAAAGTGACCACCTTCCAGAGTAAAACCTACAGACCATGGTATAAACTCGACAAACGTTTACCATTTAAATCAATTACAAACCGGACATGTGTGTATATAGCGAAATTAACCTTTTATGTTTCAGTTATTAGTGTTAGATTAAACTAGATAGAAATTACATGTGTGTGAATCTTTCTCTACCAAGAAATAAGAATTACATATGTTATATTTAGCTCCTCAAAGCAACATAATTTATAATCTGGTCACACTAGGTCAGTAGTTCTTCACGGGGTGGTGGGGGATTTATCTCTCATGTGGAAATTTCAGATTGTTAGCTGGGTAATGTTTTGAAGGAGTTTTTCTGTGATTTGCTTTTTGTGTGATTTTATAACAAGCAACTCAACAGAGAGCCAATGATGTTTTGGCCTTTTTTTAATGGCGTAATCGACCTGTGTTAGTCTTTCGCTGTTACCGTTTGGGATCAGATCGTTTACTTTGCCAGCTATATTTTCTTACATTTATACGTAAAATGTTACATCTGTTCAACGTTTCCAAATTGTGACATTATTTGACATTATTGCTTTCTTTTCGTTAAAAAAAAACAAAAAAAACGCACCCCTACCCCCCAAAAAAAACGCCGTTATCGTGATTCGGACAGAGACATCGTTTTTTCATTTCTGATCCAGAATGAAGAGCAGGTGCCTCAATGTTTGATTTGTTTGAAAACTTTGGAGAACAGCTCTATGAAACAATTCTAGTCGAAACAATACCTTGAAAACAGGCATCCAGAATTCAAAGACATGCATATTTCAAGGTCAAAGAGGCCAATTTGAAACGAGCAAGATTAGACTTAAATGAAACCTTCCAAAGCCTAACGGCTAAAATTGGAAAAGCGCCATAGGATGTTGCCTACAAAATCGCGAAGAATAAAAAGGTACATACGATTGGGAAAAGATTGCTGAAACCATGTTTGCTGACCTGCGCAAAGCTAGTCATGAGAGGCTGTACTTATCAGAAGACGAAGCAAATTTTAACATGGAATGACACCATTCACTCTTGTATTGACGATTTGGTTGGGAATATGAAACGTCGATTGATTTCGAAAATTAATAAGTCACCTTTCTTTGCAATCAAAATGGATGAGTTAACTGATGTTGCAAATCTTTCTCAACAGTTGGTCTTTGTGAGGTACATCCACGGAGAAAAAATTGAAGAGGATTTTCTGTTTTGTCAACCACCAAAGCTAGAGATACTTTGTCCCAGTTATTTTTTTAAAGAACTTAACTTGAATTGGGATTGCTTGGTTTGAGTGTGAAAAGATGGAGAACCTGAAATGTTGTATTCAAGATCCGGATTAGTTACCCTCATCTAGCACAAGAATCCACTAGCCCAATCTACTTCACACAGGAGCACTGCCATCAAAATCACTTTAAAGATATGTTTGTGATGAAAGTCGATCGTGATTAAAGTGGTCAACTACAATGAAGGTTCCATTCTTAAAACGAGGCTGTTTCAGCGATTCTTTCAAGATTTGGAAGCAAGACATGATGGATTACTTTTTCATGCGCAACTCTGATCGGTGTCCAGGGTGACGAGTGCTTGAACTGGTCAATGAGGTTGTTTGTTTTGTTCCTCGAGAAACAAGGAAAGATTATTCTTTTGGAAGATGTGAGAAATAACGACTTATGCATTCGACTGGTTTATTTGGCTGATGCTTTTGGGGAAGCATAATGAGTTCAACAAGAAGCTTCAAGGTAATTTATGAACATTCTAGTCACTTCACTGCTCTTCGAGATGAGGACCAAAGATAATTTTACTAGGATTGTTACCGGGAATGCTCAAACTGCGTTGATAAGAAATCAATATCGATGTGAGGCTGGAACAGTTGAAGATGCCCTTCATAAGCAATTTAGTGAGATCTATATCGACTCTTTTGCGAAGGATGAATGCAGTGCTGTGGAGATGGAAAGGTTTTGGCTGCCATTTCCGTTCTGTATCCAAAACTGGGCAACAATGCACTGAAAGTGTCAGCTCAGTTTTTAACAACTTCAGCAACAAATTTCCGCTATCGTCTCAATGTTGAGTCCGATCTGAGGTCTCTCCTCCTGATATTGGTCACTTAGTATCGCAAAATACAAGTACAAAGTACCCATTGATTAATTCTTTTGCTAGCGCCATCTTTGCTTTTTTTAAATAAAAAACAAAATGTGATGAAACCACTAGCTTTTTCTTCTTTCTGAATAATTGGAAGGGAGAAGCAGGCTAAAAAAGGTTAAGGAACATTGCATTAGATAGAATAATAAATAAGGAAGAGGGGTGTGCAGAGTAGGGTAGGTCGTTTTGAAACCACAACTAACTCAGAGAAAGTTGATAATTAACATAAAGAATAACTGCACAAAATATTTTTCTCTAAACGTTTACCAATTTTTGTGCAAATTCATTTAAATAGTAACGTAGTAGGTCAGATTAAAATCGGAATTTGAAGACAAAATGTAGAAAATAGGCTTAGTTTTTCAAAATCGTGCAATTCTGGGTAAATTAAAAAAAATTAAATTAAAAAGCAAACACTGCAAAAATATTTCATTTAAGATTCTATAAACTATAAATAAATTCGAGCTTGTTTTATGCGGTATATGTTCAGTCTGCAGCGGAAATATCTGTAACATTCCCCGTGTTTTTGCTTACATTTGTTTCAAGTTTATTTAGCTGATTTAAAACACAAAAATAATTAAGTCTGTTCCTTGTTTACTTAAACTTAATTATTAGGAAAAAATAATGAAGTAGCTTTATATTGATTGTGATATTTTCTTTTTTTTTTTTGAACACATTATTTTTCCTTAGCAAGTTATTTTTTTTGGTGGGGTTTTACTATAGCGTAAGTGATTTGCATTTATTTCGTAAGGTACATAGATACATACTTATTATTTTATCTTTTATCATATTTTTTCCATTTTTTAAAAATTTAACTTTGGAATTTATAATTTAATTTGTTTAATTTCTTATAATAACGATTACACATTTTTTCAGATATTTTTGTATAAAATCGTTGCAAAACGAACTGTATTTTCTACTCGCAGTGTTACTGCTACAAAAACTAGAGGCCCACCTTGTCCATTAGATAAAACAGAGCCGCCTACTTTTCAGCATGTCATCCAGTATAGTTATTTTCTAAAATACTTGTTGAAACTTAACTAACGTTACTATTTCAAAATTAATGTCAAAGACTATAATTGATATTTGCTTCTGTTAACCGAAAAGTATATTGTAAATAAATTAAAAAAATCTGCTTCGAGAAAGCGCATCAGATAAATTGATGTCTCTCTTCAGTCCAAAAGAAAATTATGGTAGAAAAAAGCTAGATGCATTGTTTGATATTTCTTTTTGTTCCTGTCAACTACCAATTTTAAGCTGTGAAGACAAATATATGAAGTATAAAAAAGAAAATTCTCGGAGAAAGCACATAGTCTGTACTTGTCCTCTCAAAGATAAGGTAACATTATTTTTCTATATTCTTTTGCTTTTTCAAATGATTTTAAATCCCAATATCGTAAACATTTTAATTTAAATAGATTTCTATAATTATATTTTATATAAACAAATTAGAAAATAATTTGCACTATTTTTCTTTCTATGTGAAATAATATTTTTTAATAATAGTTTAATAATATTTTGAGATACCGTTCGGTTAGATCTATTCTTACAACATAAGTTAAATTTAATATTTCTGGTACCAGTGGAAGGCAGACATTATTTAAAAGGCCAGAGGCCCAAAAGGGGACCCAGGGTAGTTTCCAACTTGGACCTGTGGATAAAGCTGCCATTCAGAATGACAAAATGAGTGTAGTGGAAGGAGAAAGACAAAAACAATTTTATTTATCTTCTATTGCAACCGCATCTTAGGATCAAGATGTTATTCTTTCCCAGTCATCAAATAGTGAAGACATATATGAATTGTATGAGTCTGACAGATATTCCAAGAGTGTTTACAGCCTTTTAAAAATTCCTCGGTATGCTGCCGAGTTGATCAGAGGTGATGCTTCAACAAACTAAGGAGCAAAGTTGTAAATGCCTTTCTTTTAGATTCGCAGGCTATGGACCTTCTCAATCCGAGTATAAATATCGAAAACGGAATTTGGGATAAATCTAAAATAGACCAGGCAAAAGAAAGAACAAAAAAAAAATGCCCATCAAAAACATATTGAAACAGAAAAAATATTTGTATTGATTTTGATGGAAGACATGATAAAGAAAATTGTTATAGAAAGAGATTGTGGAGGC